TTGCTGATAGTTTGAGGAGTGGCTCCCTTTTCACAATGGAATGATCCCACAATTAAATCCTGAAAAGACGGACCCAAGATATAGAACAAGAACAGTCAGACAAGGAATTTTCAAGGGAGATAAGGAAGCATTAATCAAAGCCGTATCAAAAAATGACAATGACCAATATACAGCAGAAATGAAAACTATGATTTCATGCATGTTCAAATAAAGGACTGCACTTCAGAGTCTGAGTGCAAAATACACTATTTTTCTAAACTGGGCATTTCCACATCTACTGTACTACACCTGAAGTCCGCCATTAAATTATGGATGCATTCCAGTTTGTTTACAATTGAGAGAGCATGACAATTGTGACAATGAACTAGGGCAATCCAATTGCCAATCCAAAGGCAATTTCCCTTCATTGTTGACAGTGTTTCTGTTGCAGGACCTGCATGTAGTTCGTAGAGTTAATAAATTAAAACTGTAAATTATACTGTGCACAGCGTCCACCAAAGTGAACATGGACCTGTTTACAAAGTACTTTAAATTACAACCTAAATTGCTAGAATTTGAACGGAAATGTTCACATGTAAATGACATTTACATTGTCACTTTTTGAGTCAACAGAATATTTTCTAATAAAACTTGATACTTGATACTTGAGTTTACAATTACCTCTTGCTGGAAGAAGTACTCTTTTCTTTGCTCAGGTCACAACTTAAAACTTTGTAATTAGAAGTGGCAGGTTTCTGCTTCATTATGATGGATTCCAACCCTTAGTTCTTGAAAGAGCTACTGTGAACTATGCCAGATTCTAATCTTTGTCTTACAGTTGTTCAGGTGTTTCCTTCACATAAAATACACATTGGTCCTCTTTCCCACATAATAGCAACAAAACCAAATCAATTCACCCAGCACACCTTTGCTGGAAAAAATGCATTAAAAAAAGCAATATTAGGGTCCAGATAGCACCAAAGAGCTTTAAAGGCAACATTATTTTTTCACGAACAAAATAATTTATTTTAACACCAATTAAAAGATCTCCAAATACACCAATAATGTTGAAAAACACAGTTTTCACAACTCCAGATTTCCACAGTGACAGTTTAATGCTTTTAAAAGAAAAAAGAAATCACTTCCTTTTGAATTAGTCAAATCTTTCACTTCTGCTATTCAAAGTGCTGCCAATCGAGAGGCATGGTACAGGTAATCTAAGATTGTTTGAACATTTCAGCCTCATAATAAACCTGTTTGAAATCTTGCTTTACAAAAGCATTACCCAGAAAACATTTTCCTATCAGTAAATCTTCGGTTCTGGCTCCCCCCCACCCTCCTTCTCTCACAGCCTGGATTTAAGGCTCAATTTGCTGTGACAGACAAGTTGGAACAGGCTTCTTCACACAAACAAGTCTCAGCCCCATCTCGTGCGGAATGGGATGGTTGCAGGTGTTCTTTGGCAAGCTGCATCTTGCTTTTAGCAAGAACACTCATCTCCAAACTCACCGTTCCACCCTCTTTGCCCGCAGCAGAATCCAAGACTTGTTCCTGAGCTTAACCCATTCAGAACTCCAAGGCTTGGCAGAGAAATGCAGGATGCAGGTAAACCAGTACAATTTTCAGAGAGGTATTATTTTTGGCAGCCTCTGCCTTAGTGTTCGTGAAGTCTGCTGCTTTAAAAAAGCTAATCCTTCGCTGTCTTCCTCCCAAGCCCCCCGAGACACAGAAAACATTGGCTTTTCTATTTCTTTTCAATTTAACTGCTTGGCTGGGAGGAAAGGTAGTTTCACAAAAAAACAACGTTCAGACATTACAAATGTTGGACTTTAAATACTAGTAAGCCTAACCTACTGTACAAAAGAAAACATTTTGCTGAAAATTCCCTGAGCATTCCCTGGGACCTTTTGATGATTACTAAAAAATCCGATGCATTAATAATCAAAGCAAGCAATGACTGAAGATAATCAAGTCAACAGATTTTTCTTAAATCCAAATTTAAGATTTAGCTGGATTATGCATGCACTTATGAAAGGGCTTAGAACAAAATATATTTTGCGTTGGCAAAACTATGAAGTCTTATTTTTAACAGAAGTCTTCAAACCAAAGGAAAGAAAAATGTTGGTGCTCCATGAATTTGAGACAGGAGATTGAGAACCTGAATGTCTTTTTTAGGGAAATAAAACTTGTGCTAATTGGAAACTAAACCAAAATTCCTAGGAAATTTGACGAAAGGTTCTTGAGACTTGTCAGCCCACAGTTTGAGAAAGGAAAATGTTAAGGTGTAGGTAGAGGATTAGGTTCATCTCCAGAAAACAATCATCAGACAGAACGGCAGGCATAACATTAATTCCAGCTACCAATCCCACGGTCCTCTCAGAAGAACACTAAGAGCTCTATGGGTCTTTCATCATCAAAGCCATGATGATGACATCACAAGTGGGCCTCAGCCATCCAGCAGGAGATACAGAGACTCTAAAAAGGATTATAGGGCTGACTTCAGTCCTGCTTTGATTAAGAGCATAAAGGTTATTTCTGAATCCACTTAGGAGTCCCTTTATATAGATTTTGTTATTGTTATTATTTATTCGCTTAGTATACCCTTTTGTCCAGGGAATATTTTAAAACACTTCTTGTTAAAAATACTTTACAATCTAATATATATATACCTGTATGGTAATTAATTAAAAAATTGTTCTTGCTAAACCAACATCACATCCAGATAGCTCACCTGCAACATTAGTTTTTTGGCTGCAAGTCCTATTTTAGCCACTTAGAATTAATAGTTTTGTTTTTGTAATCATGGCTTCTAAATAAAAAGACCTTGGTAAAATTATCTGCTTAAGAAATAAGTTGAATTAATATTGCAAGATACAGATTAGGATAAACACAGCATATTATCAAATTAATGTCAGTTTTGTTCATTTCTAGAGATATGCAGTGAATGGCATGATATGGACAAAGTTACTGCAGTCCTACACATGTAAAAAAGTGTCTACCATGAAGCTTGCTGTTAACACTAACAAGGCTGGCTTGAACAGTGGAACTATTTGCGTCACTGATTCTTTGACCCAGTTCTGTAATGTGGGTCATGATATGGTTACCCAATACCTATGTGTTGCACCACCTACTGGCTAGTAGGCACCACCTACATGCCTCACCTCTGTCATTCAAATCAATATGCCGCTAAATCCCAAGTCACAATGGGACTGCTGCACACAGATTTTCCTTTATATTTGCCAAGAACTACAAGCTTTCTTGAATGAATGGACTCCCTGCACAGAGCTAAAAACTGCTGAATATTATCAAATTCTTAATTGCAATAACTCGGTATGTTAAATAGAAAAGCTATCACTCTATGCAATAAGCACACCCACCTTAATAATACAGTCTCATGGATTATTCAGCAATAATCTATCATTTTTAAATCACACAGACAGGGTCTTAATAGACGGAGCATGGGACAGTACAGCTCTGACAGTACTTACAGTAGGTGTGGTGCTCACACCCTAGTAAAGTTCTCACAAAACAATTGCGCATTTGACAGACACTTTTTTTTTTGGATGTGAAAATGAAAGGATGAGAAAGTCAGTGTGGGAATTGGGCAACTGTCACTATCCCACACTGAGTGCAACCAATGACTGCAATACTGCCCCAAAACTTCCTTCTGTAATCCACCTGTTTACTTAAAGGCGCATTATTTCAGTGCTGTGATTTATGCAATAAGCCTATTGCTCTTGCCACACACGCTTTTCCTAGAAGTAAGATAAGTAGCACATTGTAATGTTTAAATATTAATTTCTAAAAAAAAAGGAAAAACATTAAAAAGAAAAGTGTGCCAAATTTTCCCTTTGTTTCCTTAGGGATTTTGTAGTATATCTACATTGCAGATATATTTTTACTATACATATCTTTTGGTGACCATTATTTGTGTTACATTTTCAATACTACTGGTGCAGGAAATTGGCTATGAATGTCTTTTTCAGTAATGTAGAAAAACAACAACAAAAATGTTTCTTAATGTAAAAAGTGTAAACTTCATGACTCACCATTTAGATGTAGTATAATATGCTGATCTAATTATACCCTGTTAAAGGATACATTAATATATAGAATACTGCTTTATAATATGGAAAACTTTTTTTTTCAAGCAATTAAAATATCTCCACCTTTAGGCTAACACTGGGCCAAAGTAGTGAAAGCCAATAGGGTATATTCTTTTTCTAATTGCATTTTAATATCATGTTCCATCTTCGGAATTGAGCATAAGGCCTCCATGTCAACTTGAAGAAAGCTAATGCAAACATATGCCAACTACTACTTACACTTTCAGAGTGGACACTCCGGTGCACAGAGGTCACTGGAGAGGAAGATTCCTACAAACCTTATTACCTATTACTTGGTCCAGGTTTTTTAAAGTGTCGATCCCGACCAAAAAACATTTACTACCATACATCTTCAGTAAGACTACCTGTAAAGGGTTAATCTTAAATTCCAAACTATTGGCTCAGTCAATCTTCAATTAAGGTGGAAACGAGGCATGATTTGGAATCCCCTCACCTTTTTAATTAAAGGATCGGCTGCAGGGATGAAAATAGAGGGGGGGGGGGGGGACATGTGTAAGTAAGGAGGAAGAAGCATGACATTTATACATAGGTAGGAAGAAGTGGGCAAAATTCGGGTTTGACCACCTCTCCAGCTTTTGTTTAAAACTTGGTTCACAGCTGCAAACTCTGCTGGAAGCCAAGCAAAAAGCAAAAATGTCACGGCAACGGTGTTACAATGTGTCCACCAGCACTTGAGACCAAGACGATTGTTGCTAAAGACAGTCAGATGCTCATGCACGCACTGTATATAATCCGACATGTTTCATGAATGCTGTCTAGAACTTTCTGTAAACCTCTTCACAAGTAATTGCTAAGCAATTTGATCTCACAGATGAATGAAGAGTGCATGAGCATGGAGGATGTGAGCACCCTCCCGACTAACATACTGCGTACGGAAAAAGGAGAGGCACTCACTGTCCAGGTGGCTGACTTCGCGGTGCTGGACTGCTGGAAGGACACATCGAAGGTGTGTGGCCCTGGGTAGTCTGTGTTCGAGGGGATGGCAGGCGATGGGGAGAGGGCATCAAATGTGGAGCTGGGCTGGGCGTACGGCGACGGGGCGGTGACGTTGTTCTGAGCATGCTCGTTGTTATAGGGGCTGGTGGAGGACGATCCACCGCTCTGCATCTGCTGGTCCATGCTGTTCAGGAGCCCCAGGTTGGTGTACTGTGACTGGAGACAAGGAAACAGTGTGTAGAGTTACACAAGAGAAAAAAAAAATATCAAGGACTCAAACAATGGCGAGAATGTTGCCAATGTATTCTAATATGTATCTACTGGTTCCTTGACTGCTTGATTTGAGGTTTAATTCATTCTCTGGACATGTGAATTTGACACATTTGATGAAACAGGGGCTTAGGAAATTCCACACTCAAGCATCTTTAATTGCAAGGTACTGTAACTCTATTTCTCAAAATTCTCTTTGAATTCTCCCTGTCTATGTTATTTAAATTGACTCAAGCACAAATGGTGGTACAGAAGGGCTATCAAATCTAATTATATTAAGTAGTTACAATCTGCAGAAATGACAAAAAAAAATGCCTGTGCTAGAACAGTCGTCAGTGATACACCGCACACCATAAGGGGATAATATGTGATGAACAAACACTTGGTATCAACAGGTTTAGGAGTAGACACACTTCCAATCCATTGAAGTTGGTGTCCATCCTTAAATATTTGGTTAAAGTAATTCCTCACTTTACTTTAACCAAAATCCACAAACAACTCCCTGCTATAACCAATATCATATCCTTAGGGAACATTTTTACAGTACATTGAAATAATGGTGTATTATTCAGTTTATTCATAGAAAAATCACACAATCATACTCTGCAGTCTGCTTTACACATGTAAGAGAGACGAGACTTGTTTGTAATCAGCAGAATCATGAGCAGTCAGCATTGTGTTAGACATTTCCTTATCTTCTGATGCAGACGGAAAACATATTACAAACGGGCAACCCTCAGAACAATGTGTGGCAGAGTGTTATTAAAGTAGAAGCCAGTGCTTGTTTAGTAGATGTTACTGACAGCGGGGGTGTTCTGAAAAGGAAAGAATGACAATATAAAAACAGCAAGCATAGTAAAAGCTTCATATATGTGCAGTATTTATCTGCCATAAAACTACATTTGAGAACCACTAAGTTTCTAGTACTGTACGTGAGCATGCCATTTATTTGACATGGTAATGCACACAGTTTTTGTCCTTTGTGGTAAGTAAATGGGATTGGTATGAGGATTGATTCAGTCATTTACTAAGACAGGGATCTCCACTCCTGCTCCTAGAGTGCCCCAATCAAGCAAGTTTTATGCCACTCAATTTTGTATGCTTCTTGTTATCGGTAACACATTTGTAAATACGTGATCATTTAAGCAAGCATTTTGTTCAGTTAAGGAGACAGTCCTCCTTGGCAATGATTGTTCAAATGATCTCTAAATTGCTTAATTTAACAAACTGCATGTTTAATGGATCCACGTCCACGTCTTTAGAAATGGACTATTTAATTGTCATCTCTAAAAGATAAAAATGGGAATTCTCCAAGACGAGGGTTAAGGATCCCTGCATTAAGAGAACATGCGTCAAAATCAGGTATATTATCCTTTCCTGGTCTGTGATAAAAAAGTCTAATGTATGTGTTAAAAAACTGAGAGTTTAGTTGAGTGAAACAATGGCACAATGGAGAAAAGAGTCTTCCCATTTGGCCTCCATTTAATGAAATGCATCACTTTTGCTTCAATGTAATACAGATTACTTAAACGTTTTCATATTGGAGTACACAGATTGTTTATATTTTAGTTAAAAAACTGGTTGATCAACTTGCCTGCTTAGTTCAGTGGAAAATACATCTCTTTTTACTGCGTCACTGAAGAAGCTCTGCTTGTTTTTGCTTTGTGCTTTCACTTAGAAATAAAACTTAAAGGGGGAAAAAAAGAGCCCCAGGGAGTTCAGTTCTGTAGATCAAAATTAATTACAACCATTATGTCATTTTAATAAAACGGGTAATTAACAGATACAACAGACTGAACCCCAAATATGAACCAGATACACCTGCCAGCCATAAGTGATTCTGCGTGTAATCAAAAAGGTGATTTTTACAGTAAACAACTGCACAACATCTATTGTATAGAACAATAACCTGAATTCACTATTTTCTTTAAGTTCTACTAGCCGTATGTAGTTAATGAAACTGGGGGTGGTTTTCACACTAATTCTGATGCGTATGAATAAGATGAAGAATACGATACACCATTTGAAAGGAATGCAAAATGTTTTTATATCACTCATGTTTCAGAGGACTATCCTGGCGGACGGACTAGCAAACTGTTTGGAAACGCCCACAGAATGAGAAGGAAGATAGCAGACGTAGTGAAAAACGTAAGACGTCCTGTTAAGGTCTGCTCACATTTCTGAAAATGACAACTGGACCTGTCAAACACAGTCAACCGTTTTCAATGGCTTTAAAGAGGTTTATTAAACAAGCAAATCCAATGATCTCATTGCTCTGGTGAAACCTGTTTTTTTTTCTAAGAGGCTTCATGTCTGAAACTTTAGATTAATTTCTTTCTTTCTTATGGGAAAGACATTCTGCCAACATTTATACAACCAAGATTCAAAACTGTACTTTAGAGACTTGATTTTATTTCCGAGGTAAGTTGATGGAGCATAAACAAGTGAATAGTTATATAACTTTCCCCCTAAATTTGGTAAGACCGCTATATGCTGTCCAATTCTAAAATCTCATTTAATTAGTTTTTATTTCCTCTAATAATCCCTAGCTATGCTTTGTCTACTGGCTTTGAGTATTATATTCAAATATTATATATATTTTATTCTTTATATTTTTACAATTTATATAATATTATATATTTTATACAACATGTAGTTTTTAGACTTATGATGTAATGAGAGAGATATATATTGTATACTGTATGTAAATACATACAAGTTGAAAAGCTGCTTTTCAGTCTTCAACAAACTTCCTAATGAAAACTCAAAAGTAACCAACATCTGGTGTTTTTCAGCTTGCACAACATTTTAAACTCACTTTTTAACCTATAACCCTGGATCACGAGACATATTTTGCTAACACAATGTCAAAAGCGAAGGTCAGAACAGAGCAGTAACAACCTAAAAATAAATGTCTTGTCCGTACTTTTATGTGCATTTAAATAATCTTTAATAAGCACACACAGGTACACCTTGCTCCAACATATCTGAAGAATCTGATGGATAAATTAACTGATTTGTCTCAGTAATATCTTTACGTGAACTCAAAGAGCCCAATTACACAAGCATTTGAGAAAGCTTCGGTGCTGAGAGACAAGGACTTTTTTGTCCAATCTGTGTGCCGACTACTGTTCAATCGCTCGGTCCTGCGCAATGGAAGGGGAGCTGCAAACTAAAATGGCAGTCACTTAGGGAGAGCAGGGAAGCATTTGGGTATCCGCCAGCAGCACCCTGACTGCTCTGGTGGCCATTCATTTCATTCCATTCCATTTATAACCACACATTCCTGGACTAGGTGCCATGTCTCTGTGGCTCTTTAGACGGCTATTAATCTCTTTAGACTTTTTTATTTCAGGCATGACGGCCAGCAGCTGTCCAGTCCCCGCCCATCAGCAGGTGCTGTCTGTGCCAGGTGACACCAACACACACAAACATACACCTGAGAGCGGCAGTCCAGTGTCTCACTACACCTCTCCTCCAGCGCCGGAGGGGATAGCTTTGTGTTGTTTGCAGATAAGGGTCACTGTGTGTGTGAGCCACGAGCCAGCACGGCCTCTGAACAATGACACCAAGACTCTGAAAGGCCTGGCTTTGAACAATGCAAAGTGGAGGCAGGTGTAGGGCGATATGTGTGTGCACCATGAGGGAGGATTTAAAAAAAAAAATCCCTACATTACTAAACCCTCCAGTCTGCTCTTACAGAAGGGGAAGGTTTTTCAGGGCACGCGCTCTTATACAATGGAGCAATTAAGGGACAATAGAACACTTTGCAGTGGAAAGGCAGTAGAACTCCTTTATTTTCTGAGTCGGATGTGGAGAAGATGGAAGGTAATATCTTACTTAAGCAAGAGCTAAAAGGATTCTCAAAGCGGGCTAGTAGATTAATCATACATGAAAATAGAACTGTTGTTTCAGTTGTGCATGCATGCAAAAGTACACCATCTATTTTGGTGCAAGGTGGGTGGGGATTTAGAGGGGCTTTTTCAAGATTTTGTTCTGGGGTCACCTCATTGTTCTGTGGGATGAAATTGCTTTTTTTATGTCTTTCACCTGCCACGCTGTTGCTGTGAGGCTAACCCAGAGAGCTGCACACACAATGCTGGACTCTAAAGCACAACTGTATTCAGACGATATAGGATCTCACAGGCTCAATGAACATTCTAGAACATTCTAGATTTTTAGAAGACTGCAAAATGCATTTCTCTATGCCCAACACCTACAGTAGAACTCTTCCGTAAACCAGTTGAGTCAAAGCATGTAATGCAGTCAAAATAATAAATAATTATCATTAATTTACTGATATAATTATCGATAATTTATGCCAAAAGAAAAGCTATTATTAGGGGGGTAAACAAATTGAAATCTATTGTATCCCATCAATACAAATTGTAAGAAAAACAAGATAACATGAAACATGGCAATTTTATAGCAGTTTGAGACATACTGTGCAGAGCTGCTTCATGAAGAAAGATTGCAAGATTCCTCTTGCTTTTCAATACAGCCTACAAAGTCCTGAACCAAGGATCACGTGCAAGGCAATGCTATCCAAACTGTAGCTCCAAGCCATTGAAAACACTGCATTTGGATAATAGTGTAGAACATTGGATTCTCACTGAGGTACAGTGACAATATCAGGCTCATATAAAACAACATGATCTGTGTAATCTGACATGATGTTGTGGTGGACAGCTCTGTAATTATTTAGAAATGTTTATCTGTAATAGGTAAAGAACTCCAAAATATTTTTACATAATACAAAAACAACAACAAAGAATAACTATCCATAACTACTGGCAATTCCAGCACTACAGGCCCTGTAATCAGAATAACTTCCTCCAGTTAGTCACTGATCCCCCAGCTACACATGTAAACTAAATAAAGCAATGTATGTTTTCAAACAGCTGATTCCAAACATGAAGTGTTGAGAAGAACAGTGCCCTTTCATT